CTCAACTGTAGACCTGGCTGGGGGCGTCCTTGGTTTCCCTTCAAGAGTGTGTCCCTGTTCAGCACCAGCAAGGTGGCCCAGAGACTCTGATCCTGATCCCTGAATCCAGAGATAAGCTAGTAAATCCACCAGGAAGTTATGAAACTCTCCAGAACCCATACAGAGAGCGTGACTTCCAAACATTCAAACTAGAACAGCCTTCTCTCCAGACTGGAAGCCAATGCCTACTCGGTGAGATGCTGGGGGTTGCTTATGGAGGCCGACAGAGCCAGGAAGGGACAGTGGATCATGACCAGAAGATGCTCCCAGACTTCCGCTCTGATCTCTCCACCAAGACAGTGGAAAGACAAAGATCTCCATTAAAAATGGACAGGAGGTCTGAACAGACCTTTTTCCAAAGAAGACACACAGATGGTCAACAGGCACATGAACGATGCTCACTATCACTCATTATCGAGAAACACACATCAGGACCACAGTGAGGTACCACTCACACTTGTCAGAACGGCCATCATAAAGACCACAAGTAACAAATGGTGGTGAGGATGTGGAAAGAAGGGAACCCACAATCCCTGTTGGTGGGAATGTAAATCAGTGCAGCCACAGTGGAAAACAGTATGGAGGGTCCTCAAACAATTAAAATGAGAACTATCATATAATCCAGCGGTCCCACTCCTGGGTATTTATCCACAGAACACGAAAAGATACATGCATCCCCATGCTTCCTGCCGCATTATGTACAACAGCCAAGAAATGAAGCAACCTAAGTGTCCACTGATGGGTGAGGGGGTAAAGACATGGTGGTGTGTATATACAGAATGCAACGTTATTCCACAAAAAAGCCACAGAAAAGAATGAAACCTTCCCATTTGTGATAACATGGATGGACCTCGAGGGTACTCTGCTACATGGGATAAATCAGAGAAAGACAACGATCTCACTTACACATGAATCTAAAAGCTTGATCTGTGAAAGAAAAGAGCTAAAAGATACAGAGAACACATAAGTAGTTGCAAAGGTGGAGGTGAGGTGGGAGAAATTGGTGAACTGTTTTTGTTGGTTTGTTTTAGTTTAAATTTTAAGTTAATTTAAAAATACCAAATGACAATAAGACACAGAAGCCTGGAAGGTCACACATAGTTTCCTATTACCTCTAATCCATCAGTCCAAGTTTACATAAATACTGGCAAATTCAGGAAATAGAAAATCTTGACACAAATTTTCTTTAACTTCCATCAATAATTCCTCTTGGTCTTTCTCTCAAAAGTGTCTTTCAAATCTCTACAGTTCCTCCAAGTCTGCTCCCCACCA